GTATTTTTACTACTTTGTCAGTCTCCTGATGACAGTTGCGATGTTTAATTGGTTTGACACTGAGTTGTTATAATTCTAGTCTAGTGGGGTCTTTTTTAAGCTAGGTTTATTAGACTAAGTCATCATAGTAACACATATGTTCTTTGTTTTAATGCACGTGATGATGGTAAGTCTATGTTGGAATAGAGTAAGTTCTGAAAATCCACCTACTGAACATCTTTGTAAGACAGCTCAGTAATTTTTAGTATGTATGTGCATGAGGGTCTTAAGATGTTTTTTGTCCATTGTAAGATTTTTTCGAATATTTTGATTAGTTTTAAGAGTATTTTCTAATGACGTGTTATCACTATAGTTGGAATGTAAATCAAATATTAAGTGAGATTACTTAACTGTGAAACTTCAGTGCTATCCTGCTAATGAAGATGGCAAAAGGAAATTAATCTGAGAAATTTATTTGAGAGCAACGGGAAAGGAGTAGAATCGAAGTGTGTCAGCTCTTAAAAGGTGTTCATAAACTAACACACACATCCTCATATTTACCATAGGTGATTCTGACAAAATACTCCTTTTCTGTAACAGCTTGCTTCAAAATAGATTAATGACCTAATTTGCTGGTAGGATTGTCTTTTTTATGGTTTTCCCCAGCATAATTTTGATAAGTAGAAGCTTGACATCTTCATACACTCAAATGACAAGATGATTTTTGTGCATGACAATCTAAAGAATCTGAGTTAAAACGTTGGGGAAGAGGGATTTAAATTGAGTTTTCAGTGATGACATTGCCCTGTGAAGCATCATACTATTTGTCTGGTTGTTGAAAAATACCCTAATGTGACTGAATTAATTTTCTAAAAACTAAACATCTGTTTAAGGAAAAGAACTGCTATGTCTGAGAACTCTATTATAATGGTTTGTGTCCTTTTCAGAATAATGCCTGCTTGTTCCTGTTTTTAGTAATAATTTAAATGTTTTGTGGGAAGTAACTAGCAAAGGGTGACAACTCTGCTGTCAAAAAAACCCAAAACACTAAACCCACATTGAAATTAATGTAAAATTATCTTGAATTAAAAGAGATTGCACAGTTACTGGTTACCGATGAGGCTAAGTAATCAGATGCAGGTCTGGATTTGTGCTGATTGTGGCTTGTATTTTAAAATCAAGTGTACTGAAGTAGTCCACAAAGGATTAAAAGAGGGTCAGGAGTTTGCTGTAATAAGGACAGTAGAGCTCCCAACAAAGAACACTCCCCACACAGAGGAGATCACTATATTCTTTTGAAAGAAATTCAGCCTGATCAACACATGCTTATTTTGGAGGGAGCCCTTAGGGGTGTTCTGTAGTGTTCTGTTTATTCCATTTTTTACAGAATACTGTTTCAAACCAGCTATTAAAGTTAAATAAAATAAATTATTGTGACAATGGGATAAAATTGAACAAAGGTAAAAATAGCAACCAGAATTCTGCTCTTGCTTGGGTGTAAGGAGTGCTACTGGCTTCCAGATTCATGTTTTACACACACATCTGAATGAAAAGACAGTAGTTTCCTAATCAGCTGAAGTGTTTCTAGCATATGGCCTGAAATGAAAGATCTGGGGGAATCTTCGTAAGAAGCAGAAAAATAGACCATTATACTCATGCCATAATGGAGCAAATAAGGGTAACTTACTGGAGCAAGTAAGAGTAACTTACTCAAAAGGAGACAAATAGTATAGATTCTTAAAATGGGAGGAGAAAATCAAGTTGTGTACAGAAGAAAGTGGGAGCAAGACTTTGAAAAATTAAGGGACCCAATGAGCGTCTTTTTTTATTAAATCAAATGGACTTTGGTTCACCATGGTGTGATATGTAGGAATGAGGGAAACCAACAATAGAGTTTTGTAGATAGCGGAATAACCTTGCCTTTATACAAGGCATAAATAAAGATAGATTAAATTTATGCACAGGAAGACAAAATTAGAATGATACTGTCATGATAATGACAGCACTACAGATAAACGAAAGTAAGATGATTTAGGAAGGAGGCAAGGAGTTCAGTTCTGGGTATGTTTAAATTAGTGATGAGTTATGCAATATCTGAAATGCAGTGAAAGTATTTAAGAGTAGCTGCATCCTTGAAAATAAGCCTTGTGTCTTTTATTGTCATGCAGAACTCAAGATTATTATTTTATTCAAGTATGCGTAAATACTGAAGTATATGTTTTGCATTAAATGTCGTCTGTGGAATAGAAGTATGATTGTGGATTTTTGTTAGACAGGTATAGCTGAGTCAGTTTTTTAACAATTGAAGAAAAAAAACACCTGTGCTGGACAAAGCACATATACATTCAGATGTGTATTTGTTTCAATGAACTTTGAGAAACTGATGCTGTAGTTAGTAGAAGCACTATAATTACCACCAGGATCTGGAAGAGCATTTTTTACAGCTGCTGTCTAAATTAGTATATACAATAGTCATAAATAGATGAAAGTGGAATAATTGTCTTTTATTAGTGAGGTCACAGTTCAGTAAATAAAGCAGTAAAAATAATTAAAAACTACAAAAGATTTCTTAAATACGTAGATGTTTTGGAATTGTGTACTGGTAGGAAATACTGAATACTCGGGATGCATAAAAACGTTTAGATGAGTGTATACTTAGATTTTTTTTCTCTCATCAGAATAAACATGTTAAGAGATAAATGCAAAAGCTAGCTGGTATTTGCAGAATCACTTAATCTTGATAGGATATGCACCTATCCATTAGTAACAGGTTCCAGTATAGGTTGGGGAATGACCTGTTAGAGAGCAGTGTAGGGGAGAGGGACCTGGGGGTCCTAGTGGACAGCAGGATGACCATGAGCCAACACTGTGCCCTTGTGGCTAAGAAGGCCAATGGCATCCTGGGATGTATTAGAAGGGGGGTGGTTAGTAGGTCGAGAGAGGTCCTCCTTCCCCTCTACTCTGCCCTGGTGAGACCGCATCTGGAATATTGTGTCCAGTTCTGGGCCTCTCAGTTCAAGAAGGACAGGGAGCTGCTGGAGAGAGTCCAGTGCAGGGCAACTAAGATGATTAAGGGAGTGGAGCATCTCCCTTATGAGGAAAGACTGAGGGAGCTGGGTCTCTATAGTTTAGAGACGAGGAGACTGAGGGGTGACCTTATTAGTGTATATAAATATATAAAGGAGGAGTGTCACGAGGATGGAGCCAGGCTCTACTCAGTGGCAAACAATGATAGGACAAGGGGTAATGGGTACAAACTGGAACACAAGAGGTTCCACTTAAACTTGAGAAGAAACTTCTTCTCAGTGCGGGTGACAGAACACTGGAACAGGCTGCCCAGGGAGGTTGTGGAGTCTCCTTCCCTGGAGACATTCAAAACTCACCTGGACACGTTCCTGTGTAACATTATCTAGGTGTTCCTGCTCCGGCAGGGGGATTGGACTAGATGATCTTTTGAGGTCCCTTCCAATCTCTAACATACTGTAACAGTTTAATTTGATTCACACATCTGCCGGTGAGAGAGACTGTGCACAAAAATGCAGTTGAACGGAAAGGTTTGAAGGAATACATTGTATTCATTACAAACTTTGCTTACAAGCATAGTCATTGAGAGCTGTTGAGGGAAAAAGGGAAAATGACAACATAAAGCTGTGGGTTGTTTTTAAAAGGTTTTTAGGTACTTCTGAATTCCCTTGTGCAGCCTATTAAATGGTATTGGAGAGAAGCCATAGGACTAGTCTAGAAAAAAAAAGTTTTACTAATTTTCACTAAACCAGCAGGAATAAGGATCCAAAGGTTTTATCAGAAGCTAAGCTATGCTTTCTGTGTTTCTTGGGTACAGAATTACTTTCTGTAGTAAAGATTTATTTTATTTTTTTTTTACTCACCCCAGTGCTGTGCAAGTACTTTGTTAATTTAATACTGAAGATCATTGTATTTGATTCCTCCTCTACTCCATGCTCATATTTATCTAATTAATATATCATAGAACAGTGATATTAAGTAAATGCTTTTTGCACTTCAGCAGTAGTTCTAGTATATTCTACCTAATATTATTCATCAAACTTGTGGGTCAGCTCCGATGAAAGTGGTTGCCCACACGAGTCTTATTCTTGTGGTTGACATTCTCATCATACTGTAGGAATGCAGTCTTTGTTTGTTTCTTGTACTGGTTATCTATCACCACAGCATGTGGGTGTCTGAAATCATGATCTGATGCAGGTATTCAGGTAATGTGCCAATCTCACAGTGGTCTTGGAAAAATAAGTCAAGCTTTGAGCCATGGTATGTATCGTCAACTATGATTTATAGGCTTGGCTATGGAGATGCAACGCAAGGAGTGGAATACTATGGTAACAGGCTGACACTAACTTGGACTGCTAGGTAAAAGAGATTTCCACATTCGGAAACCACTTTTATTTTAATGTAGGTGACTTCATGTCTAAGTTAGGCTTTGCTATTGCAGAATGCTTACTCTCCAAATAGAACAGTCATTGTTAAGGGCTGTTTCTATGCTGAATTACAGGGATTGTTTCTATAATTATATCGTGTGCACTCCAACTGTATTTGCATGATTACAGTCTTCTATTAACATGATAAAATACGACCCAGGAGTTTTTCAACAATATTTGCTTATTTATTGTGTGTAATTCTCGATGTGTTTGTCCTTCAGTATATTCTGTTACATTTTCACAGAGTGTAGGGTTTGTAGGGCTTTACAGAGTGTAGGGGGGAAGAGAGAGGGAGGGACACCTTCAGAAGCAATTATCTCCTTCTAATAGAGTTGCTTAAATAGTTCAGGTGAATCACCCTCTAGCATACCTGTTTCTCTTTGTGGGCTATGGAATGAGTCTGGGTGACTATCTGCAATTAGACAACTAACTTTTAGACTAGAAAAAGCTAGGTAAGATGAACCTGTCCTTAGTGATTGAAACAATGATGGCTTCCTGGGTAATTGCAGAAAATTTACGTATTTTTAAATTTTGATTATTATTATTTCTATTTTTATTTTTCTGTCATAGGTTCTGATGTCTTTACATGAAATGTTCCCAGCAGTGCATGCAGCAGAAATGGCTATCCAGAGAAACCCACGTTCCTGGGATGCCTGGCAAACTTTGGGACGTGCCCAGCTTGGACTGGGAGAGATAGCACTGGTAGGAAAATGAACATTAATGTGCTAAACTTGTAAACCACATCCTCTGAATTGCATGTGCAAGAATGAAAGTACAGAAATATCAAGGTAGCTGCGTATCCTTATGTAATCTGAAAGTAGGCAAAGAAAATGTTGTTATTATTTATCTCCAGTATTCATTCTACTTTGTTGTTTTTCACAAATGCTTCCTGTGTGGTTTTGTTGCTGGGCTTGTGGAAGACCTGCCTAGCTCAAAGCCTTTTGTGTTATATACTATATTTATGTGGTGGCTTTATGCAATAGAATAATTATGTTGACATAACTGCACATACAACGTTCTGGGTACTGTACTGCTACAGTACAAAGCTAACCATAATTTGAAGATGAATGCTCCATCCCTGGCAGTGTTCAAGACCAGGTTGGACGAGGCCTTGGGTGATATAGTTTAGTGTGAGGTGTCCCTGCCCATGGCAGGGGGGTTGAAACTTGATGATCTTAAGGTCCTTTCCAGCCCTAACTATTCTATGATTCTATGAAGGTACTGTGAAGTCCCAGTTGATACTGGCTTGGTTTTATATACGCCTGTTAATAAAATTCTAGTATCTTGTTTTCAGTCTTTGACTTCCCTGCCTCAGGTGCAGCAAACTATGTACTCATTCATGATTTCCTGTGGCTCCTTGGCCCCATATGGTGGCTGAAGTTGCTTCTTAATAAGAAAGCAAAAGGGCTATGATGCTCTGCAGTAGCTCAAGTGTATCGTTCCTCTAGCTGCAGCTGCATGCCATGGTGCTGGCTTGGTGACATGATGTGGTGCAAAGGAAGACTCTTCCCCCACATCACATCACCCTCCACCTACAGGCTATACATACCTGTAAATAATGTGACATATATTTAGGGTGCGTGTTCTCCTAGTCAGTATGGAAACATAGTGAGTGAACGTTTAGGTTCAGACACATCCACAAAGTCCATTAGAGAAATGATTCATCATGAACTCTCAGATAAAGAAAGATACAAGATACTGATTTGATTTTATTTCTAATAGAATTAGCTGTGTGTTGGTCTGATAGAAACAATTTTGTTTTAATTTGGAGTGGTTTTGCAAAGTTACAATGTTTAGACTGAAAATTTTCAAGAATAAAAAGAGAATTTTGAGGTTTTTTTGGGGGGAGGGTAACAGATCATGAAAAAAAGCAGTTTATTTTTGAAATGTATTAAAGAGCAGTTAAAAAGAACCAAATCAACCAACCAAACAAAAAACCACAAAAAACAAATGAAAAACAAACAAAAAAACCCCAACAGATTGTGAGAATAACATAAGGAAAAAGCTGTGTGTTGCAGATGTGTAGTGTGCTACCTTATGTTGATCATAATACGAACTATCTAGAAATATTTACTATAAATCCATACATATCTGTATCACATAGTGGTATACCATAGCTTTTGTGGTGTAGAAGGTCAGAGTAGATGGTCTGTCCTGTATGGATCTGCAATCTATAAATGTTATTCTTGTTTCCTTAGTGTCTGAAATTGTCACTGTAAATTGGGTTGTTAAATGCATTAGTCTCAGGAGATTAAAAGTTTTATTTCCTGCAAGGATCCTAGGTAACTGCTGCCGATTATTCTGTAAAAAATGCTACAGTTACTGTAATGCTAATTAAAGATGATGATATACCCATACTTGTTACACCACCAACTCTGCTCACCCTTTGTGGTGTGTGTGGCAGTTCACATCACACCAGTAGAATCATAGAATGGTTTGGTTTGGAAATGACCTTGAAGCTAATTGGTTCCAACCTCCTGCCATAGACAGGGACACCTTCCACTAGACCAGGTTGCTCCAAGCCCCGTCCAACATCCCTGCCAGGGATGGGAGAGCCACAGCTTCTCTGTACAGCCTGTGCCAGTGTCTCATCACTCTCATAATGAATATAGGAGGGAATGTCATGAGTTAATAGTGATGGAGACCCAGTGTTCACATTATATTTATTTTGGTTTACATCAGAGTAGTATTTCAGGTGCTCTTTTGGAGTGCACTGTCAAGCTTAATTAGAGAGGAATGTAGTTTTTGTAAGTCTGAGAGTATACCGTGATTCAAACCAAAGCATTCTAAGTGGGAACAGTCTCAGATTTTCGCCAAAGCACGTTTTCATCTGAAACAAAACACTACTGTAGGTGCTTCTGTAATTCTTATATTGACCTTGCCATCTGTAAAGAGAGAGGGAGGAAGCGCTATCACCATGTAGTTTGCCCTCTTAATGTTTTTGTCTTTCTCCAAGTAGGGAGTCCAGAGGTGGGTACGCTCCTGTTGGTGTCTTCAGTGCTTTAGAACTGGGTGTTCTACTTTTTGCCTTTCTGCCTTTAAAGCATACTGGACTGCCTTCTGATGAATATGCTCTCACGTATAGAGAACTTGGATAGTTACTCTTAAATGCAGTTAATGTTCACTATTTATTTTTGAACAAATCGATTTTTAAGGAATCTGAAAACATTAAGAATGGAGCAGTCTTTAAGACTCAATTAAGGTTAAATGTTTTCATAATTACTGAACCTGTGGAGGCTTCTTGACCAGGTGATCTAAGTCATAATTGTACTTTTCTAAGTCATAATTGTCCTTTTCCTATTTGCCTTTAATTATCATGATTTACTAGTGTTTCATTGCATTGTACTTTTTACACACAAAACTTAATAAAGTATAAATGTCAGGGCTTTTTAGTAATGTTTGAGATTTGGGAGTCAGTGCCCTTCTCAGGAGTAGCTTCTTCTGTTTCTTTGTTTCATTTCTCCCCTACCAGCGCCTGTCTTCACTACCTCCATCCTGCCAAATGGTCTGTTGTAGATATTTTTATTACTTCACAATAAATTATGCACTTTTCTTAATAAAAAACAATTTACTGTATTTTAATCTCAAGTTTCGCAGGTCTAAAATACAAATCTAATTTATATTATGAGCTGTGTAATATATTAATTACTTGCAGACAAAGATTTGCTTTGATTTGGTTTTGTCGAACTTGTGACAGAGTGAGATAAATTAGCCTCTTTTTATTTAGCTTTTGAAAAGCTGTTTGCTTTTTTTTTTCTGACTTTACTAAATACGTAATTCAGAGGTAATCCTTAAATGTGAGCAGGCAGAACATTTTGTTTCTGTAAGGACAGAAATTCCTTAAATTCTGTGGATCAGTTTGTAAGAGCACACCCAAGTAAACTTTGCAGTGTGAATGTAGAAATACAGTCAGGCTTAAAATATTTCATTTAGTTGTGAACATTTTTTACAGATGTTATTTACTGTATTGGTGATAACAACTTAAGCCATAACAATTTCACACTGATACTTCATTAGAACAGTTCTTCCCATGGGACAGAGTGAGCACCACACTTTCATTAAACAAGCAAACCAAACCAAACCAACCAAGCATCCAAACAAATGAAAAAAAAACCAGCATTAAAAAATAAAGACCAACTGAGACTGACTGAATCTCCCACCTTGGAGAAGTTCTTAAGCCATATGGACATGGTCATGGGCAGCCAGCTCCCAGTGGCCATACTTAAGCAGGGGTTTGGCCCAGATGGCCTGGGAAGGTCCTGCCCAACTTCAGCCATTCTGTGATGCTGTGACTTAAGCTTACCCCATTGTGAGCTGAGGCCTCTGTGTCAGATCTGGAGTACTGAAGATGACAAAAGTTAACGGGGCAGATGTGTGAATACAGACCAGTTGTGCATGCTTTTTGTTTGATGTTCTGAAGGATGTGGTTTGCTCTATTGTTACTAAGTAGTTAGTGGCTTAGCAGTCTTGAAGTGTGACACTGCATCTTGTAAAAGGAATCAAGCCTTGATAGTATGAATCCTCAGATCAGCCCTTTCTTTTATTTCTCGTGAAAGAAATAGTTCTAGGTCTTTTACATAATGCTGGGAGTTATGTACTAGCAAAGAGAGGAAATGCTGCGTTTTATTGGAATCCAGCTAATTAACTAATTCTGAGTTTGAGAGAAATTTTCAAACTGCTACTAATGTTAAGTATGCAGAAACAGATATTGTGGTAATCAGAAGGAAACTGATGGTTGGCTTTCCATTGAAAAGCAATCAAGTATGTGTTTCATATTGTTTTCCTATCCACTTGAAGGGAAAAATAATGCAGGTATTATTTTGTAGGTCTGTTAAATTATTTAACTGTGCTACTGTGATAATCTTCCTTATAAGCACAAAAAAAGGTGTGTATTATAGTATAATGATAGAATATTTCACTTTATCATCCAGGTTGGATGGGGCTTGGAGAAATAGGACAAGGGGTAATGGGTACAAACTGGAACACAAGAGGTTCCACTTAAACTTGAGAAGAAACTTCTTCTCAGTGAGGGTGACAGAACAATGGAACAAACTGCCCAGGGATGTTGTGGAGTCTCCTTCCCTGGAGACATTCAAAACTCGCCTGGACACGTTCCTGTGTAACCTTATCTAGGTGTTCCTGCTCCGGCAGGGGGATTGGACTAGATGATCTTTTGAGGTCCCTTCCAATCTCTAGCATACTGTGATACTGTGATACTGTGAAATCCGATCTAGTGGAAGGTGTCCCTGCCCTTGGCAAGGAGTTTGGAACTAGATGATCTCTATGGTCCCTTCCAAACGAAACCACTCTGTGATTTTATGATGATTATATTAATATTCTTCATAGGTATTCTTCTTATGTGCATAAATAGAAATTTTGAAAAAATTTGAAAATTGCTGTTTGTTGTATGATTTTGGCCTAGAATTTCTTGTTATTTTATTTACAGGTTTTGTGTCACACTTTAAATGGTACTGTCCTACTTATCAGGATTTGATAAAAGATGTTTCTTCTGAAAATAAAACCTGTGACAAGGGTGTATTTCTGTCCTGTTGATTTCATCTTCTACTACGCTTCTGGGCTCATCTGTAACATGACAGACTGTGGCAGGGGTACATGTTGTGAGTGTTCCCCACTGACTTAGCTGAGGCACACGTCCTCTGGTCTCTACTGCCAGCCATCAGTCAGGGCATGTGTCCCAGGGAGAACATGATCTGAGTCACCCCTGGGGGTGATGCACCTTCATCTACACTGCATCAGTTCTCCGCAGTTCAAAGTTAAAATAGATAACACATTTATCATTTAGATTGTATCATATAAACTATTAAACTAGAGTGAAAATAGCTGAAAGAATTGGAATTTTCTATTTGTCCTGGGTTCAGCAGTAGCGGTCATTTTTTCTCCTTCTTAGTAGCTGTTGCAGTGCTGTGTTTTTGGCTTTCAGCCTGGGAACAGACAGTGCTGATAACACCGATGTTTTTAGTTGCTGCTCAGTAACGTTTGGGCCGACCAAAGATTTCTGAGTCTCGTGCTCTGCCAGGGAGGAGGCGAAGCTGGGAGGAAGCAGAGACAGAACACCTGACCCAAACCAGCCAAAGAGGTATTCCATACCACAGCACATCATGCCCAGCATGTAGTACTGGGGGCAGTTACCCGGAAGAGTTAGATCACTGCTCGGGTCAGGCTGGGTATCGGTTGGCGGGTGGTGTTGTATTCTCTTCCCTTGTTATTTCCCTTATCATTATTATTATTGGTGGTAGCAGTAGTGGTTTGTGCTGCAGCTGGGGTCTCACGAGAGCAGAGTAGAGGGAATCACCTCCTTCGACCTGCATGTCCACTGATGCAGCCCAGCATACAGTTGGCTTTCTGGGCTGCAAGTGCACATTGTCCGGTCATGCCCAGCTTTTCATCTACCTGTATTATGTTGGATACTGTTAAAACAAATCCATATTTAGGGAATATTAAACACAGAAAAGGTTTACATGTAAAGGTGTACATGTCTTCACTGATGGACATCCTTTGAAACAGGTCAGATGGTGACTGTCAGATGTAATATAAAGGCCTAATTCAAACCTTGGGGGCAGGTGTGAGCTGCATGACTTCTTAAAATGCTCTCTTACTTTTTTTTAGGGGTCACTGTATAGTGGGAGTTACTGGGTCTGTATGTTACAGATACCTGCTGTAAAAAAATGTTAGTCTGATCACAACTTCCCTTCACATTGAAAGACTGCAAACCAGCAGAAAAGATTCTGCTCATAGGACAGATGAAAGATTGCTACAGAATGCCCTATAGTGAGATGAAATGTAAAATATTTAAAAAATACCAATTCTTCAAATATTATAATTCAGCAAGCAAGAGCATCTTGCAGGAGATTTTATAATACTGTTCCGTGTAGAAGTCCTGTAGTCCTTACATGCAGGGTGTCTTTAAGATCAGAGTGCCCTTTAAAATGAGGCTAGAAGTGCCAAGTTTGTCTAGTGCTACTACATTTTCTTGTAGTGCAAGACAGGCAGTTGTAGATTTAAATCTCCATCGGGGAGAATTAAAAGTAGCACTCTTATTTTTTCTTTTGTTTCAATGGAAATTAATGGCTGTGGAAGCTGTTACAGTGTCAACATAAAATTTTATGTGGATGGCAGTTCTGTATTTTTAGTGTTACATTGCTGCTTTAAAATGAATCGCTCTGGTCTTCTGCAACATTTCAAATTTACTTTTTAATATTTTATGATTTATAAAAACGTCGCACAAAATCTTTTTTCTAATAGATATACAAAGATGATCTTTTTATGCTGTGTTGTATGAATCAACAAAGCAGCTTCTAAGCTTAACAAATGTTACCTTGTATTTGATTACTCTCCAGTGTTGTTTATTGTGCATATACGAAACTATATAGTCAGGTTTTAATCGGGGCACATCTTTCATTGAAAGCAGATGGTGTTTGTTTATATTTTGTTTTCAACAGAAATACAAAAAAAAAGCATTTAGTGTTTACTTATAGCTCATCTATCACTGGAAATTAAAAGCTAGCAAAGTTGAATAAAATGATGCTGTTTTGCAAGAATTACACTGCACTCCTCCTTCTGTTTAAAGTTCAGCATGCACATACACTTCAGAGCTTGCTGTGGGCCAGTCATAAAGTATTATTCTTTGAACTGAAAGGCTGACTATTGCAACAGCAGTAATACTTGTACACAATCAGCATTTCTTAAATCTGGTTTGTATATCTTGTCTGCTGAGTTCACGTCATATGGATTTCATCTATTAATCTGAGCCAGCAGAAAGATGAGTTGGCAATTTCTGTCAATGCAGAAGTAATATTCTAATTTTTGAAATTGATTTGCATTCTTTATTTATAAATTACAACAGAATATGGCATTCAGTGGTTGTTCAAGCGTCTTTAAAGTCTTTATAAGTAAGTTGCTAGAACTTTTCCCAAATACAGTCCAAATCTGTATCATCACTGTTTTCCCGCACTACAGGAAGGCTTCTGTTCATCATGACACAAGAGTTTTTCACTCACGTGGCCATTTCCACAACTTACCGTACAGTCATAAATGTGAAATACACATGGCCTGTGCATATATACACCTAAGTCTGAGTAGGTAGGATCAGTCTTGACCTTTTCACTGTGAATATAACTATAAATAAAATACATTGTAGATTCTTGGTCTAGCATTTTTTCAGTATTGTAGCAATCTCTTCTTATTGTTGAATATCACATCTACTGGGTTAGATGGTCACATTTTTCTTACACTTAACAACTTCTGTGTTATTTTATTTGTAAGACTTTTCCCAGTTGAGCTGAAAGACAAGAGAAACAGAGTCAACTACACTGGTATTGATATTAAATTGTTCATAAGAATATAAAAATTCTTTCTTGGAATAAATTTCCAAGTTGGGAGTTAGTTTGTCTACTTTTGTCTGCTCAGGTAAGTGTATTTGCAATCACAAACCTGTTACAGAAAGTGCTTATCATAGAGCTGTGATTACTGTAGTACCAGGTGTGTATGGGATATGACTACATGCTAATTTAAAAGCAGCAATATTAGTGATGCGTGAAATCCCAGTCACTCCTTTTCTGTATTTCTTTAAACCATATCTGTCTGCTCTTGCTTTCCTATAGATCTGAAAGGAGACAAGTGGGATAGAATACCATCTAAACAAAAATTATTCTTGCTTTTACCTTTCTAATTCCAACATTATGTTTGACATGTGAACACTTATTTGTGCCCTTGTTGCCAGATCTGTTCATTCTTCATACTTTCAGATAATTGTATGCACAGTTGCTTAGGGGTAACACTGCTATTGAGCTTACACCTGAGGGAGGATTGTTCCACTAAAGACAGACTGGAGTAAAATCGCTTTTGTCTTTGCTTGAATGATGGAGTATTTTGTTGTTGGTAGTTTTTATTATGAAATATGTAGGTGTTAAAGTGTCCGGTCCTTGTTTCTTTCCTATTGTTTCTAGGCAATCCGAAGTTTCCAGGTGTCCTTACACATCTTTCCGATGAACCCTGAAGTATGGAAAGAGGACCTTTCCTGGGCAAGAAAACTATACGAACAGCAGAAGGCAACCAAGACTGAGGCAGTGCACACACTAGCAAAAGTTAAGGAGCATGAACAAGAATCAATCCCAGACTATGACTTTGAAAGTGATGAAGTTGTGGCAGTCTGTGCTGCCATTGCAGAGAAGGAGAAAGCTCTTTCAGAAGCTAAAACAGTAGTGATTGTGTCTGCTTCAGGCACAGTAGAAACTGTTACCGAGAAGGAGGATTGTCCTGCAACTCCTGATGAAACCCTTTTCATCAGAGCTCGATAGGGCAGCCTTATGGGTTGTCATACTCTTTTAAGAACTACTGTTACTTATTGTGTTGGGCTTCCTTTTTTTTTTTTATTTATTTTCTAAGCAGTGGGAGAGCCTACGAAAGTTAAAAAAATTGCAGTTACTTTACCTCTGTAAATTGAAAAAAAGAAATGACCCAAATTGTTTCATGCTTATTTTTTGAGAAAAAAGCCAAGAGCTTACGAACAAATACATTGTTAAAATGCTTAACTGCATTTTAACAACTGTTTTCATCTGGCTGAATTACATAATTTTACAACTTAATGTCTACATTTTCCCAGTAATTAATAAGCTTTTATTTAAACTCATTTTATTGAGAAGAAAAATGGATTTTTTTAAGTCTATTTCAGTCCTTATTCATTAACATTGTTTTTGTTCCAGCTAAAGTGTGAACTGTTCTCTGTTATCAGAAGTATTTATTTTCTTTATGATTACTTTTCTATGAGGAAGCTTCCTATGAAGTAGAGATGGATTATTATTTTGATTGTGTGTGTGATAGATCCGCCATCCAATTTGTAGTCAAATGAACTCAACAGAAACTTTCCTGTTGCTTTCATAGGTGGATGGGTTAAACACTTTCTGATCAGATGAAAGGGAATGCTGTATCAAACAAGGCCCTGAATGCTTAGTTATTACTGAGGATTTCACCAGAAGAAAGAACATTCAGCTAAGACTGAAACTGGCCTTGAATGCTGTGCTACAGACATCACCAAAAGTAAAATGGTGGGAGCTGGAAATGGGTATGTCTGAAGTGTGTTATGTTTAGGCTTTTATTTCTTAGTAAGCTACTCTCATACAAGGAGGCAATTTATTTTTCTTAATTTTTATGACCTGATATTTGAAGTGTGTTCTTAGTGAACTCATACTTCAGGATAGCATTGCCAGAGTCTTCCTTTTTATCCTTTTCAGATTTTGGGTGCTGTGATGGGTATTCACATTGTTTTAACTTAGGGGTGTAACATAGGAGATTTATTGAATGTTCATCTTTCTTTAGAGGAAGGCATGTGTTTGTGCCTCACATGGGCAGTTCAGGGAAATGAAGTCAGGCTGTTTCTTCTATGTGCTCTGTGCAGAGACTGCTCTCTTTTCGCATTGCCTGGAGACATGATAGAGATGGTTGCCTCATAAACTAGGCTGGGAAAAAATGGTCAGTGGAGGATTCAGAGGCAATTCAGGATTGGGAACACATAATTTGTACTTTATGACATTTTGCATGATAAAAACATTTTTGAATGATAATTTTATAGATAAGGGAAACCTTTTGAAATCACTTATCTTTGTATTTTTCATATCTGATTTCTATTTTCAAAGTAACACATTTTAAAAGGAAATAATGTTGCTTGAGAAGCATAATGATTTTTGCAATAGCGTAATGTAGAAAAATTATCTCAGATTATGCTTTCAGTTGAATAACTTTATTGAGGAGGACACAGTCTTTCCAGAAATTAATTATCCCTTTCAAAAACTTAATTGCCATGTTGTACTTCCTAAATTTACATTAATTTTTGCAAGATTCTTCCTGAATATATTTCTGTGTATGTATGAATTTTTAACTCTGTGCTTGCATGTGCACACGCAGTTTTACACTTTTTAACATCTCTTAAGTATTCAAAATAATTATAATTACAGTGACTAAAATATATTAAGAAATGTAAAATGTCACCATGCTACATCTTTATTTGTTCATTCAGTTCAGAACTAGATCTTAAACGCTTACTGAACAGATGTTTGATTAAGATACGGTTTGATAGATGGTTTAAATTTTCCCAGTTAAAGAACTTGTTAATCTTATTTTTTCCTAACAAATAATACAATCTATTCAGCCATAGGAAGTTAGTATGAGAAGGATTTAGACATGTTTCTTCAAAGGAGACACGTTCTCTGGCTAGAAAAGGAAATGTGCTGGAAGCTGTAAGGTATGTTTTCATTTTGAAGGATCTTGGCTATAATCCAACACATCTTTTCTTTGTGCTTTATACTTGCGTCAGTGTTATGTATTTGCTCATACAGGAAGAACTGCCTCCCTCCTCTCAGAAGTCCCATGCTATCACAGAATCTGTTTCCACTGAAATGATTCACAAAATTCATATTGACTTCAGCACTGCTGCACCAAACTAATGGAGGGGTGTGCATCTGCACCATCAGGCAGAATGGCCAAGCCGGCTTTGAGGGGTGGTTGTTTCTATCCCCTGTGCTAAATGTGTTTTCATTCCGATTAGATTAGGTGATGAACTCTAGGTACTGTCTGGATTGTAGTGTTTTGTAGAGCACTGTAGAGCAGATAAATTCTTGCGATAGTGTTAATCTCAGACTGGGAAGAAGTTAAAAAATTGGTGATTTCAACATTGTTTTTTATACAGCATGCCACGTTTTGCTTGTATGGGATTTTTTTTCATCTGTTTGAATAAAATACTGACTTCTCTGCTGCTTAGTGATGCCTGTTTATTCTCTTGGTTATAACAAGAGTAAAGGTTAATGTTGACCATTTTAGAATGTCACTCATTTAATCATTTTGCTTCTGTCTCTGCTGAACATGTTGATGTGTTACAGTTTTTTTTTTAAAAAAGGACATCTTGGGAAAAATGTTTAATAAAAGGTAGAGAGTGTTCGGTGCTCTTAAACCTCCCAGGGGTATCCAAATGAGAGGCACCCAAACTAGAAAGCCTTCCTTATAAAAAACAGGGTGTTTATGAAGCATGCTTCCACTTTGCCATCAGTAATTTATTTTTATTGTTGTTCAGCGTCACTTGTGGCAGTGGCTGCAGCAGCTTCCATGTGTTTGCCTTCCATATGAATCATATACATTGAAGTGCTGAAGTGTTGCAACATTGCTAAAGAGGAAATCTCAACAAGGCTAGGTGGATTAATTTGCTTAATTGGGAATCCATAAATAAACATTTAAATACAGGGTTTTTCCCTTTGAATCCTTTTATATCCAGTGTAAAGGAATACACAGCCTCAGAGGGCCATTCATATGCCTGGTGTTACAGAAGAATCTTAGGATACCTCCCAAGGTGCCTAATTTTTTCCTTTGGTTAAAATGGAAACTGAAGATGACTGAGTGGAAGTTAACTTCAAATGCTGAAACAGGGCAGATGAATTCCACTCTTAGAGATGGAGATAGTATCTTGAAAATCCTCATAGATTATACTGAGAGATAGATAATAAATCCTTTCTGACAATACTAGAGGGTAGAAAAGGTATGGATCAGATAACACAACAGTGACCAATTTGCTAATAACAGATTGGATTTTAAAAGTAGTTATTAAGGGAAAAAAGCAAATGTTAACAGTTTACTCTTGTAGTTCCTGAAAATTGTGTCAGTATCTTTTGGGGATCAAGATTAGAGTGGTAGCATTGGAAACTTACCTGGCCATAAAAGGTAAGTGCATCCCAGATCCTAAACCCAAGGATCCTAAAACCAAGGGAAAGGAGGTAAAAGCTGGTGTTGAAGATAGGTGCTCTCTTAATTTATTTTGAGGTCATACAATAGCTATAAAATTGGTCTTGGTTTATTGGCAGGCTGCCAACAACATGTATTTATTGTAGGTTGGCATCACACTAACATCGTATTCTTGAATGGATTGGAGTCCTTGGGCTGTAGTTATCTCCAGAGAGAACTGGTTTAGAAGCGTGAGGAGCTTATGAGTGTTGGTGATTGCTGGATCCTCCCAGATGTACTGGTCTGGATTTGAGGGTTGGTTTTCTAGGAGCTCTGAGGTTTCTAGAGGGTAAATGATCATGGGAAAACATTAGAGGTGGAGAATGAGTTGACTATTTGAGTTCAGAAAGCAGATGATTTAGACTTCTCTTGATTTCCAGATCTGGTAAAACTGTCAGGTCTAGAACAGGCCTAGGAGTGGAAAAGTCTGGTGGTATTCCATAGTTCTAATAGTCAATCTGCCTTAAATAGAACATGTTTGCAGTTGTCTCTAGGAGCAGAACTAAAAACTGTAGAAAGCTTCTTGTTGAGGGTGATGGCTAGTGCCATTTGAAGACAGTGGGTTATACTGATCTTGTCAGTGCTTTGCCATTGCGCCTATAGCACCAGTTTGGGTTAGGCACTAGTGTTGCAGACAGCAAGGAGCTACAAGCTTGACTTAAAACAGCACCTTACAACCTACCCTTATAGTCCAAGTTCTCTGTCAGGATATCCGACACCCTAAACCTGGGGCCAGTTGATCAGAGATTCAAAATAATTACAAATATTCATAGAAACCACTGTCTTGTGCGGATACCAACTGTCACCCTGTTTGTGGTGGGTAGATCCTCCAAACTGTGCCACAGGACATGGCCTTAAATTGAGTTAGTGCTGGGGCTTGGGGTCCCAGTAGTGAGATGGGGGTCCAGCAGTACCTTTGGGTGAAAAGGGTTGTGTGAAGGAGAGGTCTGGGGTGCGGGGCTGCCACTCACAGGACTAGCAGGTGGAGTTGGGGACACATAACTTGTGTGAGAAATTCTTGAATGGCAAACCTGTGCATCTTCTGTGAACACAGAGGGCTGGGGAAGTGGCATGCAGATGTGAAAGACAGGCTGTTGCTAGGGTTTCTGGACCTCTGGGGGACAGGAGTGGAAGGGAGCTATTATGTGTGAGAAGGGAAGCCCTTTTGAACGTATGTGAATTACTCAGGAAAATGACCTTGTAACTTTCATGTGGCAAATTAACCTCTACAAACTTGTAGCTTTATTTTATGAGACTGGTTATGGTCAGGGAGGCTGAGGAAGGTAACTCACTGATGTGTTTGTGGTCAGCATGGAAGAGGGTGCCAAAGCTGAGTGGGACTGTTGGGCAGGTCAGGGAGACATAGTAGTCTGTCACCCTCAAAAGCCCAATTCTTTTAGCCTGGCTACTTCTGAACACTCACCTGTGTTTGCAGCGAGGCAGTAGAGGTGCTCCCAGTTTCATCTTTGTGCGCTGCCATTGTGCTGTGGCAGGCAATTCTAGTACTGCTCAGGATACTTTGTAAGAAGGCTGGGAATCCTTGAGTTCATCACCGAAGAAGTCCGTGTTAATGTTGTGTGCTGCGAGTCCAGTCCACTACTGACATGCCAATACTGTGGGGTAGGAGGAACACCCCAGGTTTCTTGTATGTGTTTGCTAAGAGAAGCTAAAAGGTCAGCTACTTGGGATAGTCTATTCTTGCTTAAAGCTCTTCCAGACCATATGCATTTTTCATCAATAATGATGATAAATAATAAAAGAATTATCAATAAAATCTATTAAAAATAATAAGCCTATGCTTATTTCGATACCTATTATACACTGTTGATACTTAATTCTGTCATTGCATACAGCAGCAGTAACATTGCTGTGCTGCTTTGGGCTGGCTGCAAAGGTGTGGTCCAACAGTGGTACAAGTGGCAGTCCTGTCTTCCTGCTCTGCCAGGTATTATTTCCTGTCTGGGGAAGTATGATGAATGTATTCTATTTGTTGGTCACTAGTAAGCAAGACCATAGGTATGTTTTTTAATTGCAAAGGATTCAGGTAGATCTTTATCTGTAGCTGCAGTAAGAACTTGAGTGCAGCTTAACTGGTGGAAAAGTGGCTTCTGCTGCAAGTATTTGTGCAGAGGTTTAACTTCACTTTGTATATGGATCAAGGCAAATAAGCTCAACTAGCTTATTATTCCCTGTCGAAGGAAAACGTGATTTTTGTTTGTTTACATAAAGAATTTTCATGGCTCTACACTGGTGCTCTGGGGGGCATTTCTGAAGATGGCTGCCTCCTGCTGGTATTGATCATGCTGTGGTGTTTGGGGAACTTACAGGGCAAAGCATTCCAAGATGGGAGGCTTGTAATGGCGAGGAGCTGGCATTGAATAACAGACTCATATAAACAGCTGAGGTCAAGCAGAACATTTCCGTTTAATTGTGATCTCCGAAATTACTCTGGTCAGTACAACTGCTTAACATACCCACATAAGGCTCAAGATTGTCACTACAATATAGCATTCACATGAAAACACGTTAAGCAGCATCACATGCTTAGTATTTGACAAAACATCTTCCAAATATCTATATAGAATTACTTCGATAAACATTGTTTCTGGAACAAGATCTAACCCTTACAACATAAAACACAAAACTCTTTTTGTCAGTGGTTAACAGCTGGTTTTAGTGATGTATTTGCCATTAAAACTGTAAGAACAAATCATTTTCAAGATGAAGTTATGGCTTTATATACCTGTACTTTAAAATGAAGATTCTGCTTCCATGGTTTTGTACATTTAGTTGATGGAGTATCAGATTACACAGTCATAAGATTCTACTTACTATTTAAAGTAAAATGATAAATGTTAAGAAAAAATACCTTTGTTACATCAGTGATGCTTTAACTAAGTGAGTATTAAGACTATTAACCAGGGTTTAAAGTTTTAGGCCCTGATGTTGAAAGCACTTCTGTACATCTCTAATTTTACATGAACGTAGTCTCCCTGATAGCAAAGGGATGACTCTGATGGGTGATGTGAAGTGTGTGCCTAAATGCATGCAGACTGTGAGCCAAAGTACTCAGGAAGGCGCAGATGTGTTACACAGGAAAACATTCTCAGCACATAAATAAAATCTGGCATTTTAGTATGTATATACACTGAATAGGAATATTTTTAACTGAAAAGATGTGTTTTCTTCTTCTCCCTTAATAGCGCATATATTCCCATTTCACTCAGAAAGTGCTTATATATTCTCAGCTAAAGAATTACCTCATCAGCTGCAAATCTAGCATAGACAACAAATCTAAGCCAAGACTGTCTTATTAGCAAGAAATACTAGGGGAAAAGAAGGCTGGCAATCATTTCTATATACCTTGTATGAATAAGAAACCTTCTCACAGAGAAGAACAGACTTTTAAATATTTTCAGTCCCGATATATATATACAGTGGTAAAAATTCACATTTTCATGCTTTAGTGAGACACTTTAAAATCCTGCCCCAGGCAGCTCTTGGAGTAGCTGTGTTCAGTTCCTAGCAGCTGCCTCACATCCAGCTCTAGTACCAGAAACTTAAACTCTCAATAGCTGAGCAACCATGGGGAGAGAAAACACAGTTCTAACATATTTGGAAAGGGAAAGAAAGAAAGAAAGAAAGAAAAAGAAAAGAAAGAAAGAAAGAAAAAAAGAAGAAGAAAGAAAGAAAAAAAAGAAAAAGAGAAAGAAAAAACAAAGTGATGGGTCTTCCTATTTCCATGGGTGCAGCAGCTCTCCCTGTGTCCCAGAAGGCAGTTCATGTTTCCAGTCCCATTAGACCTGCCTTGTACCATTTTTGATGGCAGGGTCCAAATGCAGCATCTGCTCCACACAGTCTTCAGTAGTCTAAAAGAAACATACCCATCACATGGCAAGAAAAGAAATAGCCCTTTGGAGCACAGTTGATCCCCTCTGCCCTTGAATGGCAGAACACCTCTCTATTGCACCAGTTTTTCCAATGTACCGGGAAGTATCCCCAATGTTGATGCCTTTCGCAGCTATCTATATACACTTTTCTGACAAATTCAGTGTCTCTGTGGGGAAGGTGACCTGCAGAGGGCTGCCCTTCGCTGTACAGCTGGCCCCGCCACTAGACCCCATTTGATTCACCAGGAAGACGTTCTCGGAGTCCTGACCCTGTGAGGAGTCTGAGGTCTCCGAGCTGCGCAGTGTCCTCACTGAGGTGGTGTCAGACTGAGCCAAGCTGGCGCTGGGCCCTGGGAGCAGCACACGGCCCCTGACACTACTTTCACTTAACTCCGGAGGATAGAGCAGCGTTTGCGAGGTGCTGCTGATCTCCCTCAGCTCACGGGAAATGAAGGAGGGTGACTGACTTGACATGGCGGACGAGGTCCTGCGGCCATCCACACAGTTGAAATTGCCCCCTGAGTGCTGCCTTCGAGCCCCTCCAATGCGGCAGAAGAGGCACTTGACCTTCTCAATGGCTTTGCTGAGCACGGTCTTGCGGAGGAGGATGTAGACCCATGGGTCTAAAATGGGGTTCACTGAGGCAATGCGGATGGCCTGCAGGTCAGGGTTCTGCCTCATATCTTTCACTGATTCCGGCTGGTACAACTGGTTCACAAAGACACGGACCTACCCAAGAAGACGGGAAGAGGAAGACATAGTTATACTATTACACCAGGAAACCAAATTTTACATTTGGAAGCAGAGATCTACATTTGCTATGCAAGCTATGACAAGAGAAGAGACTGGCAAACACAGGCATCTCAGATTGGCAGCTGTGACGCTGTTTCTGGAAACAGCAAAAAAAGATGAATCTACTATAAACTGGTCTTCTTTGTTATACATGGGAAAGGAATAGCTCTTTCTCTTTCATTCCCCTCATAATTAATCCCTGAATCTCCAAATTTTGTATGATGTTTTTAAAAATTCCTTGTTCCTGATACAACTCCAGAACAAAGATGTAGAGCTGTATCCTGTTCCCTTGGTACACTGTGAGTCTTATGCTACCTGTAAAGAGACAGCTGACTGAGGAGACCTGCATTTTCAGTTCCTCCAGCAAAGGACTAATTGTTTGTTTAGAAACAAACTGAAACACAGATTGTAATTCAAGTACATTAGACTGTGGAAGCAAGTCCAGAGCTGTCGATTCTTAAGTTTAGAAATGCATTTTGCTGGCACTTGTCCTTACTGCAATTTTTTGTACACCCTCAAAGGCTGGCTCCCTGCAGCATGGTTCTGAAAAACAGACATGTGCTAAAAAAAATAAGAAAGAAAGAAAGGTCCCCCAGCTAGGAGATTTTTAATCTTGACCTTTTAATAGGTCAAGATTATGAGCTGACTGTACCACTGGACTGGAGTGCTCTGCCCTCCTATAGAAGCCAGCATTTTGGTTCTACTTACATAAGCATAAAAACACTGATGAAGTGGTGAAGAATTTAAGATGCTGAAGCTGAATAATGAAGGAAGTATTTAATTAGCAATTTTAGTTTATCATACAAAAATACAAGACTAAAGGGCCCTGTTTTCTACATAGAAAAGGCTTCTTCATCTTTTCCCTCTGAATCAAAATCTCCAGTAACCTAATGCCTCTCCTGGTTTAGAAGCCACTTTTGTAAACGCTACTCTGAGTAACACACAGCCCAGTTCTTTGATATCAGTTGTTATCTTTCCGGTGTCACTAAGGATGGAATTGTGGCATCATATGAATTTGTGTTGATCAGTCTCAAATAGCTGTTATTCATTGCAAGCAGCAGTGTCTAATTACAGGAAGGCCTCGAAAAGCTACTGCACTGATAATGGAAGATGCTGTTTTCTTCAGATTCCCTAAGGTAAGGCAAAATAAATCCCTTAATTATCTTATCTGATACAGTAAGAATCGAGCAGCAAAATGATGATGTTTTTAAAATCTTATCCCTGGCTTCTGAAACGAATCACAACTTGCCTTGCTAGGAAGTTACAGGCAAGGAGACAGACAAATATTTAAATAAACAAGGCAAACTAACACAGATCTCTTCAGTCATTTTTTATTGGAAGTTCTGCATGTGAAACCATCCATGTCTGGTGAAGAATTTCACAGTTCTGTCTGGACAAATTTTCCTGCAGCAGGCCAGCCATTTGGCTTGTCAGAATTCAGAGACTGAGTATGTTCCAAAGCTATCAATAAAGTATGTTTAAAATAATGCGGAGTGCCTCTTTTGAAGCCCTGTGCATACAGTCTCTCTCAAAATGACTGTCAAATCGATATGACTGCCTCTATTTTGTTTCTAGATGGTATTCTGTAGGTTTATGGGTAACAACACCTGCCCATGGAGTTAAAATACGGGAGAATCTTGAATTTATGCAGCACTATAATGATTCGAGTTTTATTCTTGATTCCTAATGATTTCTAACACTGCAGATATCTTTTTGACAACTCATTTATTTACGTTATTTTTCTGTTAAGCCAAATATGTAATTTGGGTGCTTCAAAGAGTATTCTCCTGCTTATTGAATTTATAGGGTTTTCTTTTACGAAGCTTTACCTGCTTTTTTTTTCCACTGTTTTATTTATATTCCCTCCACCCGGCATCAATCACCCCATGATTCCATGAGAAAAAGCCCTCCAGAAGCCGAAATAAGGCCTTCAAATAAGGCTGATGATTTCTTAAAAACGCCCTTAACGAAACTCTCTTTGCTGGAAGGTGGTCCGCCTCGACGACACCTTTCTCGAGGGCACCGCTAGGTGGCACGGGTGTCCTGCGGTCACCGTGTCCCACGGTCACTGTCGCACGGGGCCACCTGGCCCGTGCCCGGGGGCTGCCGCGGCTCATACCGGTCATGCGGATGGAAGCGGGCAATCCTGGATTAACGCTGGAGAGGGAGATACAAATTCTGCGACTCCATTTGCCAGCTCGTGGCAGTAGAGCCCCTATGACTGACGCTGGGGCTGTAAAGGGGGAACAGTCAGGTGCCCTGAACCTGGAATGCTGAAAAATAAGTTGAGGCTTTGCCTGGCATTGGCTAAAATCTATTCCTGAAATGCTTGACCATTTGAGAGACATTTTTTTGCCCCTACGGAATGGTCAGAGGTCAAATGTATAAATATACAAAGGTCAAATATAGAAATACCCCATTCCCCAAGAGATTTAACTTGTGCCATACCAACTCTTCCGAAACACTCCTTTTCTTTTTCTGCACTGAGATTTCCTTATGCAGGGGAATACACCCTGAAAGTATGTAAATGCTGCTCTATGTATTTGACCAGTTATCACCAGACAGGTACATGCCCTGAAAGCCAGGAGTCCAAAGGACAGTGTTGAGGGGGTGGAGGCTTTCTAGCAGCTCACACAACTGAGCACCGTCATTACCGAGAAGACTAGAGGTGTGACAGGGAGGGGTATTTGCTGATAAATCCATCCAGATCACAGAACCCAAAGGCACACTTTGAAGATAGCTGAAGAAGTACACAGTCCAGCTACGGAGATCTGACTTTTTTTTTTTTAAACTTGGAGCTATAGTTACACGTCAGTGATTTAATAGTCGGATTGTTCTTTTGATAAGCGGCATATGAAACTGAGGTACCTATTTCACCTTTCTCTAGCTGGCTTTGTTGAAAGACAAAAATGTCTTTTAAGTGTTCACCCTGTGGCAGAAAAGGACAATTGCTAATTGCGCAGTGCAGTTTGCATTATGTTATCTCTGTATGCTTTATTTTGATTTGACAGCTATGCAGCACCTACAGGTTAGAGATTTGTAAAATGGACAAATTTAGTGAAAACTTTGGACTATACGAAATTGTTTCTACTTCCCGAAAGGTCTTACATATTCTGTTAGAAGCCCCACAAATGTTAAATGCAACTATCAAGACAGACCTATTGCAGGGATTACATATTAATCACAATGAGGTAAAAGTTAATCTGCATTGGAATGCCAGTTTTATTTTATATATATACTGGGGAAACAGCACTTACTAATGTATGATATACAAGAACAGCAAGAGATGTACTGTCTTTTGGCCAGAAGCCTTCTGCTGCAGGAGGCAGAATAATAAACGATATTACCTTGCATCTTCTAAGTCAGCACCAAGTGGAATCCACTAGTAATTTAGCTAATCTGATGCTTGAATTTGTGCAATTTGAAATCCTATTTAAAGAAAGAAGCACACTAGAGCAATAAGAATCTCAAAAGAATGAGTTTTATACATTAGCTTTGTATACGTAGGATTCAGGCAACATACCTTAAAAGTACTAGCAGTTTGTTTGCAATTGCATTAAGCGGGACATAGCTCCAGAGTATGCTGAATTTATGCTTAAGTTATAGGTAGTTGTAGGATCAGTCCTGTGAACTGTTTGCTGCTTTTCCATTTTACTAATTACAGATGCAAATTATGACTTCCAATCCTATGAAGTACTACAAAGTGACTTGTATAGTTACAGTCACACTGGTAATTGTCTTCATAACTTCCACCTCAAAATCTCCTCACATACTGATAGGATAAACTTAAAAACCATACACTAGTAAGCAGGAACAAGTTTTTCAGCTCTGCAAGCTAATACCTTTTGCTCTTCAAGAGCCTGGTGTCTGCTTGGTGTCTACTCCACTGCTCAAAACTTTTGTCTTCCACCTTGCTGTTGGCTGCAGACAGTCCCTGATATTTCAAAAGTCAAAACCAATCAAGCCAAAAGAAACCCCAAACTTTCAGATCAGTTCAGCATTGATTTAGAAACTCATTATTTCATGCATGTGCCTATTAGCTCTTGAAAGAGTTTGTTTGTTTTTAAATGCCGGATGAAAATTTTCTACTCAATTCCTGACAAAAATCTCTCTTAATATAACTTATTCTCTACTTTTAACTCTACCTAATTCTATCTCACAATATTTTGGAAGATGCATCACCAGTGCGGAGTTCAGACAAGAGTCAGCACACAACTTACACATTTTCCTTATTTCATTTTTAAACTAGTGTCAAATTTTTCTTCATGTCTTTTGCATTGCTTTCTGCATACTAAGAACACAAAGTTGTAGCAAAAGTTTCATGAATATTTTGCATTCAGCTTTTTTTTCCTTGACATATTTGACCAGCTTGTAAGTTCCGTAAAATTCATTCACCATTTTGCATAATCCCCCACAATTTTGTTATAGTACTGGTCACTGTAAAAGTTTGCTGATTTTATGAATAAATCATTAAGACAATCAATAAACCTACTTGTAAACTGAGTGCTGGAGCATCTTGTTAAAAACTGCTACTCTTTGTGACTCAGCTTGCTGTTCTTTAACCACTTTTTAAATCAAGACAAGCCTTTACTTATTATTTCAGGGCTATTTAATATTTTAAGACTTGAAATTTTTTTGTCAAACCCTAATAAATGTAGTCTGCATGACTGCTTCTATCTGCTGTTTTATTATGTTGTGAAAATGTTCATACTAAAATGTTAAGAGGTCTATGTCTCTCTTAAGTCTTTCAGAAGTTGCTTTGCTTTGACTTAGGTGATGGTTTATTCAGCTGAAATCATCAATTGGAAGTCAGCTCATCAGAAAACTTCAGTTACAAAGCACCCTCTGAGCCTGCTCTGTGTTTCTGAATCATGCCGCTGCCATCACCTCACCCCTTGCCTGCTCTCGATGACTGCCAGGCTGTCCTGTTACACATGAGCCTCTCACTCAGTGACGGCTCCCTAAAAGTCCTCCAAGTCGAGAATATGTACCTCTGTATAAGTGATTGATCTACCTCTGGTAGTGGATCCTTCTAGGGATTTACAGTATAAAAGTGTCACTTTTTTGAGTTTCCCTTTTAATTCTTAACCTCAGACTATATATATGGCTTAATACAGCAGCATACACTGCAGTACATCACAGCACAATACAGCATATATGGCCAAAGCACTTCCGCAGGGGGAGGTAAACAAATTACAAAAGCTGCTAATGAAGAAATTTAACCACACTGGACACTGTGATGATAAGCTTGTATGTGGTTGGCTGGGCATTTTAAAAGAAAGCTTCCTTTTTTTCTTAGTCATCCATCTAAGTGAAATGGCAGACTCTTGCATCTTAGATACAGAAAAGATGCTGGTTTAAAAGGGAAAAGCTGACTTACATGAATGCTGCCGAGGTAACACTGTTCCTTTACAGGTAGTGAAATCAAGGTCTGAAAAAGCTACACAACTTAATCACCTGCACCTTCATGTACCTTCTGCAATACACAATTTTTTCACTAACTACTGTTTAAATAATAAACCCTCTGCCCCACCCCAGTTCATTAAGTGTAACCGTCAACGATCCAGTTCATTTTCTGTTAACCCTTCCTGCTTCAATTTTCTTTTTTTAATATTCTGCCATGACTGCCTACGTACAAACAGATGTGAATGGTTTCATTTTGTATTTTACACTCAGAGTTCTCAGCCTTCCTCTAACTGCTTGTCTACACAGTAAATTCTGGCTTTTTTTCCTCAAACTGCTTAAGTCCATCACGTCACAACCCTGTATTTAATTTCCACAACCTATTTTCTGCATTTACCAGCATCTGTTTTGAAAATGTAATATTGTTTCTTTGTCAATTAGCTGTTTTAATACTAGATTAATCAAATTAAGTACTCTCAACCCACAGTACTGTCAAGAGTTTTGACCACTCCATGACCTGATGCTTCCCAGTGCAGCAAGCTGCAGTTTCTGGAGCTGGACTGCAGGACAGGTTGTGCTCAGCTCTTCCATCTAACACACATGCACCTCCCAGATACCCTGCATGAAGCTCAGTACCTCTAAGCTCCCTTCACATGTCAAGCAATGAACACAAGGCATTTTGCTCGGTCATGCCATGATGGCATGATGTTGGCGCAATGCAAAGCGACAACAGCAAAGGATGGGACACAGCTTTTTGTGACAGCTGGGGCTGCAGCACAGTCACACTTCAGTAGCTCCGGTTTATGTTAGTAATGTGGCAAAACTGTCCCAACACTTGCGATTACAACTCCTCTGAGGCAGGGGGACAGACTCACTGATGTCTCAAGTCCTGTACGTTCACATGTACTTCTCTAAACTTTCTTACCATGGTATACACTATTTGTTTCACATCTCCATCTGGCCAGCTGTATTTCACACAAATCTCCCTACTGACAGCAAACCACCTCAAAACAATCCTGCTAAACCACTTTCTGACAACCACTGCTTGGCTCCCTACAGTGTGTTTTGGAAGGTGGTGAACAGGGCAAGCCACCTATTTGTTTTAACATCTCTGAGGCAGAAGAGGAGAGAAGTTCGCCAAGCTTTATTATGGGGGCTGGCAAGAACTGAGCCTCCAGCTGGTGGGTGGTTGTTATTTTATAGTTCCTTGAAATAAGGCAGAGGTACAGAAGTAGAGCCTGCATGTCAATTTAATTACACTAATTGTTCAGCTGTTTCAGAAAAATTAGCAAATGGTTAGTGGTACTGTTGCTTGACATTTCAGCATGATCTCTCGGTTTACATGGACCAATTTCCTCCAACTCTTATTCAAGTGAGCATTACACTGGCTGATGGTTCCACCAAGTTTCCTCCTCCTACAGCAGGGAGCTGGTGGAGGGATGCCTGTGTGGATTCTACCCCATGGATGGTGGGTGAATCTCTCCCTCAGGACAGGAAGCTCATCTCAAGGTTTGGGTGTGAAGCATTCTGCATGTGCCTGCTGCCAAATGAACAGAGCTGTGTCCTCCTTCCACATATTAAGGACTGCTGTACCCTTCAGCAACAGTGTGCACATTTTAAAAAGACAATAAGCATCCAGAAACGCAGGCCAGACCCAAAGCTCACTCACCACAAATTAATTTTGGAAGTGAACTTTAAAGTGCCTCTAGCTCTCAGCAAGATTTTTGCTATTCGGATTCCAGATGAACAGTGGAAAAATTACTGACAACTTTTGGCGCTGCATTTTAATCAATTAAAAAAAGCCCAGGACTTGGGATAAGCAAGTTTTTCATGTAAATATGAATCAACACAACTTTCTCTCACCATGCACGTACATGAACAGCCTTTAAGTTATTGTAACAGTTTGCAGTGCCAGCTAAATGAGAGTCTGTCCTACAAGCACAGACTAGGAACAAGAAAGACTCAGTGGTGCGGGTGATGGAAAAGAAGAAGGGTTCCACATTGTTACTCACCACCAGAGGAATGGAGCAGATGACCACCACCAGGGAAGTGGCAATGAGCAAAATAACCATCTGGATCTCTGCTCCGGCCATCCGACGGAAGCTCCGGCGTCTGCGAAAGTCAGATAAACGGCTGGAGGTGGTGTCTGTCCCCAGGGACGTGCGCCGCATGAACTGCCGGTGCATGCGGATGAGGGCCACGCACACCAGGATGTTGCACACCACGGTGACCATGATTAGGAAGGAGCTGAAGCCGGCATACATGTAGGAATATGCCGCATGCGTGGCCTCCTTTGCTCGCCAGTCTATGAAACACCAAGTGTAAGGGTACTGCAAGGTAGACTTGCCAAGCCCCATGCTGGGGAGAGCGCAGAACAGCACGTTGGAGGCATAGATGGCAAAAAGCGTGAGTCCTGCAAGCTTCTTGTCTACATAATGGTTGTAGAAATAGGCATGGTTGATGGCCAGGTACCTTTCTATGGACATGGCACAGATAATGCTGAGGCCAGAGAGTCCAAAGAAGAGAAGGATGAAAGAGCTGTATTCACACAGTGCTGGTCCTCCTGGCCAGCGGTTCTGCAGGTAAGTGGCAATAGTGACTGGACTCACCAGACAGGTCCCTAAGAGGTCAGTGACTGCCAGCCCGCAGACCAGTGTGTAGAACGTGGTCTCCTTCTGCTCCTTCCTGGACTTGCAGAGCACAACGATGGCTATGAGGTTGCCCACCACACCGAAGATGAACATGACAGTGGGGATGGTGGGGGGCTTTCCGCCCTCAGCCCCAGTAGCGGTCCCGTTGGCGGAGCCGTTCGCAGGTGGCATGACAGTAGGGTCAAAGGACATGCTGGGGGAGTCGTGAAGAGGCTGGAGTGGGCCCGGAACGGCAGAGTAAGGGAGAGGAGGAGTAGTTCAGCGTGAGAACAAAACTTCCCGTGAGGAAAGAAAGAAAAAAAAAAGGGGGGGGGGGGAAGAAAAAGAGGTGTGTTTTCGTTAAAAATAGGGAAAAGAAAGTCCTAAAGAGGAGCCCAAGCGGGCTGCCGTCCGGTAGCGACCGACTGTTGCGGAGGAGCCGGGGCTGCGTCTTCCTGCCACTGCTCTGCCCGCGGCGCTCCACCACCCAGCGCGAAGGGGGATTGGAGTGGTCCGAGGAGGAAAAACACGGAGCCGATGGGAGCAGGGCCGGCTCTCAACTTCTCACACCGACGCTGGCGATGGCTCGGCTCAGCTCTGCGCGGCCCTGGGGGGGCGGGCGGCGGCTCGAGATGCTCCCGGGAGCGGCGCGGAAAGGTGCCGGAGCGCGGTATCCGCCGCTCATCCCCTCCCGCCGGCCGGCGGTGCGGAGTGAAGAGGAGTGAAGAAGAGCAGAAGGGACCGACGCGGTGAAGTGCGGGTTGCGGATGCCGACTGCCTCTCTACGGCGCTCCCGCCGAGTTTCGCCGCGGAGGCGGTGAGGGCAGCTCCCTCCGCGCTCCCCGCCCTCTCGCCCCATTGGCAGCGCTGCGGAGGGCAGGTTGTTCAGGGCCGGGCGCGGGCGCCTCCGCCCGGAGCTGCCTGAGGGGGGGGGGTGGCCCCGTTCATGGCGGAGGGTGGTGGTGGTAGTCTGTAGGTTTGCCGGAGAGTGTGTGTGTGTGTGTGTGGGGGGGTGTCTGTGGTCTGCCTGTGTGACTGTGTACCTGTGTGTCTGTGTGTCTGTTTGGGACGGCGGGCGTCGGCAAGCCGGAGGCACCTGCGCGCATGGTGTGCGCTTCGCTTCTGCTCTCCCGCGGCCGGGAGGCCCGTGTGACTCCTCAGCCCTTCCCGCGAGTGGGGTGAGGGCTTCTCGCACCTTCCCTGAAGGGCAGCGCTGCCGGACGGGCGCTTTGAGGAAATATTCCCGCCATATTCCCGACCTGGGCGGGGGGAAGCCCGTGTCGCCTCCCTCTCCCCAGGAGAAGTGGCTGTGACACTGGCTGCCAGCTCGTGAGGGGCAGCTGGGGGAGACGGGGCAGGGCCGCTTGTCAGGAAGACTTGCAGAGAGGCAGCGGTATCCCAGGGCGCGGCACCTGGCAGCGGGTGCTGCTGCTCTCTCATGCCAGCACGACCCGTGCCTCCCGCTGCAGGAGAGATGTCCTGGTGTACATACGGCCTGTATCTCGCCTCGGTTAGTGATGTTAGTAAACACAGGAAGGGGGTGTGGACATTCGAGGGAAGTATTTATGTTTGTTTGAAGAACTTGTGCTGTCTTGACTATGGGGCGATTGTATATCAGTTGGAAATAGGGTCACGCTTGCTGGCAAAGCCCGGTGTTCATAGTTCAGTCTCCAGCTGGGGTGGTGGAGTGACCGCAGTGATGCTGTGTGATGCTTTGTGGTGGCCTTCGTCTGAGTGAAGGTGGTGGGGAGTCCGTAGTCCAGATATGCCTACAAAACCCATAACAGGTATGCACAATGGTGTTTCTGCTGGAGTTGAAAATACTAGTGACTGTGCTAATGCTGTGGGGCTACAAAGGAAACCTCACACTATGGTACAGGGTTAGACATGTAGATCCAGCTGTCTACCATTCTTGTACATTAGGTAACACGGGTTGCTACAAAGAATACAAAGTCTTGTTCCCTGAAGCATGACATTTATATCCCTACAGAAACCTCTGACATAAAGCTAAAATGTATTATAAAAGTCTGATATTTTTTTCAGTCTTGCTATCCTCTCTCCCCTCTTTTTTTAAACCTATGAAAGTGATGCCTGTGGACTTACTAGCATTCAGCAGAGTCATGACAATATCATGACATCCTGACAACAAAAGTACTGATAGAACAAAGAGCAAGTATGTACTGTGGAAAAGAGAACATAGTTTCTGTTTTAAATGCTGTATGAACAGACATGACGAGAAAAGCTATTTTTTTTTTTAATTTGATCAGCTTTTTAGTGTTATCTGTTTTGAAAACTAACTTTTAGTCTTAGAAAAGATGGTTTTGAAGCAAGACATTGAGAGGGAAAGGATGGTGGTGGTGGTCTGGTCTGCTCAGAGAAAGTGAACAGAACTTTTCATTAATATTTTGCTAGTATTGACAGCTCTTTGTCTTTTACAAAACCGGAAAATCATTCCATCACAAGCACAAAGCTATGCGTGGAAGTAGAAGTCACTTAGGTTTGCCTGATTGTCAGAAGCAATTTATAAGCACTTCAAAATGCTTTCGTAAGAAAGCAGAGCATAAAGGTTGTGTTTTGTTAATCTTTTAAACAGTGTCCCAGCAGTTGCAGGAGGGCTGAACCAGGTACCAAGCAAGCTCTACATTTGGGCGATGTGATTGCATGTGCTTTCGCAATACTCCTCCTTTCCTATGCTGAGACTTCGGTGCTCTGATATTAGAGGCCCTAATTTGGGATTATGTTAACATAGGTGCAGCAGTCATTACTGGTATGGAAGAAGAATCACCTTGCTTCCCTGCAACGGTGCAAAGGTTTTTAATGACTAAGGACAGAGAAAACTATTTGTTTCTTTGTTGCTGCCTTTTTTCCATTTTTTTCCTTGTCTGCAGATCCATACTTACATGGTATTTTGACCATGTCACAACAGTGTGTCTTCAGAAGCCTCAGTCTGTAGCAGAGGGTTCTTAGGTCCTTCTGTGGGTACATATACACATGTGTGTATGTGAAGGAGTAAATGATATTTTACATTCTGTGAGAACTAATGGAAGATGCAGGAAAGCCAGGAAAATCAGTGAAGAAACAACAAAAGTATAGTTTTGAGTGCAAGGACAGTAAGATCAGGTTTGTGAAATAGTGCTAGTTCTATAATTAGAGAATGTGATAGAAATCAGTCACAGAATTGTATGACATGTTGCATGAAAGCTTACTGTATCTACCCATTGTGTAAATCTTTTAGAGTTATTAGAAAAAATCAGTAACTTCTGTGAGTTTCCCTTTGAAGTAATGGTTCTGATACCTGTAACTACTAGTTAAGATGAAAAGCATAATTACACAAAAGCCTTAGTCTTCATAGCAAAGAGACTTAAAGTGGAACTGAAAAACTGAAGAAATTCCACTTGCAACACAAGTAGTCATGCTGTCATAGCAGAAATATCACATGTGGTAGCACTGAATAACCACCAAAGAACTTCTGTTTGTTCAGAAACCACTTAGGTGAGAAGTAAAAATATCTAGAAAAAACACAAATGAAAGATTTGAAGTGCTAATCATGTACAGAAAAAAAAACAAAAACCACCAAAAAAACAACAGTTCTTTTAAAAAATACTAGATTAGAAAGAATGGACGCTGAAAATAATTAAGATAAACTTTTACTTGCCGTGGAGTAAACTTTTTCTGATTTTAATGTTGTTACACTTTTTAGAAGATTAATTCTGAAGTACATGAGTCAGCTACTATAGTTTCATTACTTGAGCTGCGTAACTAACTGTAGTCATATTTTAGCTCGATGAAAGATTTAGATTAAAATACTTGACTTTTTTTTTTTTTTTCTTTTTCCGTGGCATGTCTCAGCTGCCACGTGATATCCCTTACAAACCTCCTTTAGCCAGCTGATGGTTCCAAAACCTTACCTGCATTGCTCAGGGGCAGCTGGAATATAGACAAATAAACTACACAAACGTCTCCCTGCTGTATACAACTGTGATTTTTAACACCAAAATTCCCATGTAGACATGTGAATTGATGGGTATTTTCTGGAGGTGCTTCTGTGAGCTCCACTTCCAGAGGAACTGTGTGTTCAGCAAGCAGTAGAAGTGGATGTATGGCCAATTTTGGAAACTTTGGACTACTGTTAACGTACTGCAGGTCTGAAAAACGTTTTGCATGATAAAGTCCCATTATATATCTGAAGTTCAGCAATGTTCTTGACTTAGTCCAGAGTTTGTCAGCCTTTTTTCTTGGTGGGAAAGCTGGCCATAGGAAAGCTTGTTGCTTTTTTGCTTCATTTTTGTTCAGCTGTCATGCTTTTGACATGCAAAGTTTTTCAGGAACAACCAACCATTAGAGTAAACTCTTGTCTGTATGCCAAAATAAAATCATTATTAATAGACAATGGAAATAGACTGAACCAAATGTTACATAATATTCTCTCTTTAACCATTAGAAAAGAAATACAGATGAAGTAAGTTGAAAAAAAAATGTTTGAAAGGAAGTGGGGAATTCTGTAATGTAATTTGAATAGAAATAGCATTGTAATGAGATAAAAAATTATATTTAAGAGTAATATTTTCCTGCCCACATACTTTCATATAAAATCATCATAGATAGAAACAGTATAAAATTTATTTTAGGAGTTCTGGTTATTACTGGTATGACTAGCCAGCACTTCTGGTGCATTTCCTTTGTACCTGATAAGACAGCTTGATGACTAGGGGTTTTCCTTGGGTGGGGGAGTTCCCTGGGAAGTGAGAGCAGTCATGTCCCCTCTCCGCCCCCCAGCTCTTGTCACTGCATGACTGAGAAGAGAGCTTCAAACTGCTACTGGCAGGGGATCTGGTGGTGCCTTGCTGGCATGCAAGGCACCTCTGCACTCCAGTAGGACACCATTGTGCCAAAAAATACAGCTCTATAATTTACTTCACAGTCATGTGTTCCATATTAGTCAATTGTGCTACTGAAGTTTGAGTTTTTTCCCCATTTAAATGATTCTGTTAATCTTTATAGCACACTGAATGACTTTTTCCTCTGTAATAACATTTGTCGCTGCAGCAGTACATAGTTCCATTTTAGTAGTTATGAAATCGGTATTAACAAAACACTTTTAGGTTTGTTTTTTTCAATCCATTTCTTCAGAACAGTATAGACGAAATTAGCTTCTTCCTCAACTGTTTACAGTGTTTTTTTCTGATGTGTTGTTTTTTTTGTTTTTTTTTTAATTTTGGCAGTTCTTGCCTTTTAAAGGCCAACAGCATAAAGGGGAAGTTCATAGAAAAGCACTAATAATTAGCTGCCAATTTATTTTTTTTTTTCAATTTTAGAGCCCTTAAAATAATTTTAACTACTGCTGGTCTTACCTGATGAATTAGAAGTAGACAACCAAGTCAGACCCTATGTATAAAAAAATGTTATGAATAATGTTCTTCTTGGGGACAGACTGTGGCACTTTCACTAAGGTAAACTAGTATCTTTTTAGAACATATGTTGGGCTGCTTTTACAAGGAACTTTAGAATATCTTTTGCAAATATTAGTAATTGGAAATGTTTGTATTGTTTTAGCTTTCTGCAGTTGTTTGTACGTGGTGGTTCATTTTGTTGTGACAAGGTACAGTAATCAACAGCTGTGGTGGAAGCAGAAACAATCCATCACTGCACCCAAAGCAACTATCTGGCAGGTTCCATTTGAACCTCGCTGTTCTGCAGATTTTCCATGAGACATCTGAAGACTCTTTCCAAGGATCCTGACTGTCACTCTGTGATGGTATGTGTGTGCCTGAAATTTCAAGACAGCGGCAAACTTCCTTCTGTTCCTTTTGTTTTTTTTCCTTCTGGAGGTGTGATAATGGAACCTGTGAGTGTGTTAAACAGCCCTATTCTGTAGCTGTGAAGAAAGAACTAAAGCTGTGCATTTTGTTTGAAAGCTGACACTTCTATCAAGTGTTAAAAACTGTGTACCAAAGACATCTGTGATGAAATCAGTGGACCTGTGATTTTTGCAGCCAGATTAACAGTCATGGAAGTGGCTTAATTCATGGTATGGTTTTGTCGCATTCCTTCCTTTGTTGTCATACTTGGCTTTGGGTGTTTTCTTTTAAACATCTTTGTGTAAAATAAAGTGAAGTTTCTCTGGGAAGTATACCACCTGTGCATACACTGTGCTCTCTGTTTCTACCCTGGAGAAGCACTCCAGAAGATTCTTAGTAATTTTGAGGTAAAATTTGTTTTCTTCTGTAAAGGTGCCTGACTGATCTTTGGAAAGAGGGCAAACTCCTTTGTAGTATATGCTGAGGCTGTATGGTACCTCTGCATCATGAAGGCTGGCTTAGGCATGTGATTTGAGGCTAGATGTGAGTTAAGATCAGCTGAAAGTTTAATAGAAGTTTCTTCTTGTACTATCCTGCCCACTGTGGGGCCGGGCTTGAAAACATTTGCAGCTGTCAGGATGGATTAACAATTAGTAGAGCAATGCAGTGGCTCTTTCATTGCCTGGTGGAAGAATTCACCTAATAAATGGTGAGGCTGGGCTCTTTGGGAAAAATTTTTGCTTTCTGTAGATGCTTACCATTGCAATTATTCAGGAAGTTTTTGTACACTATGTAAGTATTGTGTGTAATCAAATCTTGCATGGGATGAATTATATCATGGGGTGAATCAGAATTAATCTTTGCATTCTGAAAGATTGCAGGACCAGGAAAATAATACAAACCAACAAGCTACTGGATGCTATCTGGAAATCAGCACTTTGGTTCTTAGAAAAATTTACTTAAGATCATTGAAAAGAGCCTAATTTTGTGACAATGATTCATGTGTTAGGTGAGTCAGTTATCTTTCACTAAGAGGACACTGGCAGCAAGATCATTAGAATAAACACCACTTTTAGTAAGCCTGCAGCAAATGATAAACTGTATTTGCAGCTAAATGCCTTTAAAAAGGTTGGCAGTAAGTTTTTAAGGAGCTGTTTTCTTGCCTGTAAATACTCTGTTACTCCAGCAGAGGGTAGTTTATCCTCTAGGAAGCTAGGTGTGTTGAAGGAATGATCAGGAAAGGTAGCTTGATGATTCCCGTTTCCTTTTATTTGAGATAGGGCAATGAAAATTAACTTCAGCAGACTGACTTCATCAGATTAACAAATGCTGAAACATACTGTTAGGTTATGGTATGTTCTTAAGCTGAAACTCGAAAAGGCAGCCAAATTCAACACTAGTCCCATTTCTGTCCTGCTACCACTTTGTTTGCCCTTCATGAGTTACTACAGCTATTCTCAGCTTATGCTGACAACAGTTGCATTATGAGCCTGATGCTTAAAGAGCTATCTGACTTTCATTTGTCAGCTGTAAAGTAGATACAACATGAACTAATTTTTAAGCTGAATGCATACAATCACTGTAAGTTGAAGAGTATTCGGCTTGCTCATGGTTGCTTAATAACTCTTTGAGATCTGGACTGATACAGTTGTGCCTCGGTTTAGCTCTTTAGGGCAAGGTTATTTAGCTGTGGCAGGGAGACACGCACCACTAAAAGCCTAGTACAAAGTTGGTAGTCGGTCTGCTCTGGTGGTATCTGAATCCACCCTTCCTTCTGCCACTGTACTCACTGCTACAGCAGATGATGTTAGGGAGAATGTATATTTGTGGATTCTTGTAGTAATACTTGCCTGCATCTGCTCTCTGTGGTACTGATAGTGTGTGGTGACTAGGAGGATACTCTGAGTTGTCTCTTCTCTGATAATTTATTTTAAATCAGTTTAAACCATGACAGTAAGCTTCTGTGGCTGTCGGTCCTGAAGTGTAGCAGCAGCTCTTCTGATGTGAGAGCACGAGGCAGTGCAGTGACCACTGAATCTTTGAAAGGATAACAGAAGGAATAAGTGGATCTCCAGCTATTCTGTTGCCCTGGTTCAGTGAAGCCCTTTTAATCAGCATTTGTTGCCATTCAAAGCAGCATTTCAGCTTCTCAAGGATATTAGTCTTTTTACCAGATTTCTAGAAAGAGCAGTTTGGTCTGCTAGTGAAAAGAAAGGAGTGTTGTGCTCTGAGAGTCCCATGAGGAAGAACTAAGTACGGGTCAGTACTTCAGGCTCATTTAGGCCTCTGTGGATCTTGCAGCTGGCACATGAAATTTTCAACATTGCCACTGATTAACCACATAACAGAATAGTAAATAACAAAATAGCAAGTAATATTTATCAATTTATTCATCTTATTCAGAAGTCTGATTAACGAGTACTGCACTGCATATATTAATTACAAACATCTATATTGTTTGCTCTGGAAAAAAAACCCACAACAAACCAACCAGTACTCCTTTAAGAAACTTGTAAATATGATTAGAAATGCTTCCATGGCTAGTTTGATCTTGACATTACTATCATTCAGAGTTTTCTTTGTCGTGCACAAGACTTCCTTTTTTTTTTTTTTTTTTCTAAATACATGTCTGTGTGGTAGGCCTGTAAGTCAAATTTAGCTGTATCCCTTTGTGTTACAGAATCATAGAATGGTTAGGGTTGGAAAGGACCTAGACATCATCTGGTTCCAACCCCCTACCATGGGCAGGGGCATCTCACACTAGACAATGTTACCCCCTCTGTTCTAGTTTTGAATTTGCTTTCAGAAATGACACTTACTTTTTAATATTTATTGGAAAAAAAACAGACTGTATAAGGGAGGAATAATGTATCTAAATTCTTTATTGTGGAGCAATACAGATATAACCAATTACCTTGATTTCATTTTGAAACCTATATGTCACATGATCAAAGGAATACAGAAAGGCTTTTATATGGATCAGTAGAAGATTTATGTCATGCTTTCCACCGATTATACAAGAAGTCTAGGCAATTAATCACTTTGGTTAAGTATCTTACTCTTAATGGGATGATTCCAGGCCTGAGTACTGATCTGACATCAGCAGACGAAAGAAGGTGGTGGAACCCAGGATGGCTTTCCCAAAGACACACAAAGGGTTAGTGCTAGAATTGTTGCTTGTCCGTTCCTTGCAATCTCGATTGTGTTACCTTCCAAAGTGGAAGCAGCTTTGTCTGGAACAGACACACCATTTATAGTTGATTTAATGTATTTAGTTAGAACTTTATACTGTTTCACTGGTAAGCAGTTTGCAGAGGGCTAATGTCTGGTTAATTGAACTGCAAGCATGCCACAGATGGAGAATGTAAGTGTTGGCAAATAATATAAATAGGCATAAGTAAACTTTAAACCACTGCTTTCTCTAATCAGCAGTTCACCATTTATTAAAGATATTTATTAGCTTAGTAATATTTATGAGCAGTTTATAAGTGAATCTTCACTCATATGTTGCTCTCTACAACTACCTGAAAGGAGCTTGTAGTGAGGTGGGAGTCGAAATTTTTTCCCAAACAACAAGCTGTAGCACAAGTGGTAATGGACTCAAGCTTCACCAGAAGAGGTTTAAACTGAATATTAGGAAAAATTTATTCACAGAGAGAGTGATCAGGCATTGGAACAGGCTTCCTTGGAAGTGGTGGAATCACGTCCCTAAAAGTTTTCACAAACCATAAAGATGAGGCCTGCAGTGATATGGCTTAGTGGTGGACTTGGCAGTCCTGGGGTAATGGTTGGGCATAATGATTTTAAAGGTCTTTTCCAACTTTTTTGATTCTATGCTTCTCTGCTTCTCTGTCTGGTACTTATACATCTGATCCATTATTATAGCATCTGGCTGTGGTAGAGTAGCAGACTGGGACAAAAATGAACTCCATTCTCTTTAGAAATGCACAGAAATAATAGTTTTAAATAATATAAAAATGGAATTCCTGATGAGGTTTTCTTCACCAGCTGGAAAGCCTCTCACTGTCAGGAAGGCATGCAGTGTGTTTGACATTAAGGGTGGGGGAATGTTTGTGTAATTATAAATGTTAGACTTGCAAACACGCCTTTTCATTGCAACGGGCTGAACTTTCACATGTCAACAGGAACGTAACTTTTCACAAGATAAACCTTGGTTTCTGTACTTCGGCATTATTGCTTTTCTATATTATTTCAGTATTCATATCACTAAATTGTAGCTGAAGTTTACATGTGTGCACGTTTCTGATGAGACGTTTAGATAATGTAAGTATTCTTGACTAAACAGTTGCTACAGCTACTGTATGCTGCTGTAACAGTTTTGGTATTGTGATGAAAGCTCAAATGGCACCAAGTATGAGTAATTACTTGTGATCATACAGGCTTGTGATATCTTGTGCAGTGCTGCTGAGCCTGGTATTAATTTTATAAAGCTTTTTGATTGCTGAGGTCTGAACATTTTCAGGGAACTCTAAACAATATTTTCCTAGTTATTTAGCACAAAAAAATTAAGTGGTCTACAGTGTCTTTGCAGTGCTTCATGTGTCTGTTGTTGTTTTTTGGGGGGGGGTGGTTTCAGTTGGAAGAATTATTTAGGAGCTTGAGAATGGATTTAGGAAGTGGGGTGCTGCAGTCCTTATCTAATCTGAGGAGGAAGAAAGAAAGAAGATAGAAGCTGCCTTCATGTCATGTGAAGGATTGCAGTTTAGGACTGTTTTAGTACAGTAAATGAAGTGATTGTGTGCTTCCCATCCGTTTTTAAATAAATTTTCATGTGCATGACATGTCTAATTCTGGAAACAATTGGGCAGTTCTTAGAAAAATGATAGCTCAGGTTGTATTAAACTTAGTACCAAGTATTTCTGTGCTGTGTGAGACTCCTTGAGACATGCTGACAGAAAGAAAAGTGAAGACAATGCAAAGTTGCAGTGTTTCTTGTTGGATGGTAATGGCCTATGGAAATCTCAAGGATTTAGGCCATCTCGTTTGTAATTTCTTCCTGCATCTGTAATGTGCTTATTGCAGTAATGTTTCAACCACACCTACCTGAGAAGGTGCAAGTGTAGCAGTGTTGTGGGACACACTTTCTGACATCTCAGATCTGGAAGTAATGTGTGTGATATATCACTCAGTTCATGGACAAGTATGGCATGTGGAAAGCATTCCTGCATAATGGCCTGATGTATATTAATTAGACAAGCAAGATACTCATGTGATGTAAATCAGATAGTTTCTTGGAAATGTACTGATTCATATCGCAACTGAGAATCTAGCCCAGTATCCCTAATTAGGGGAAATTACAATCTGTGTTACA